AGGCAGGAGACTCACTTGAGCCCCAGAGTTGGAGGTTGCTGTGAGCTGTGATGCCACGGCACTCTACCCAGGGATACAGCTTGAGGCTCTGTCTCAAAAAAATAAACTAAAATAAAAAGATGAAAAACAAAAAACAAAAACAACAAACAAACTATATTTTATCTATTATAAAACTGTGCCAAACAAAACACTTAATATTTTACAAGTAAAACAGAGTCAAGTTGTGGGCTCAGGGAATTACACAGTTTTTCACTATGAGCATGTCCAATGGGACATTCTAAAGTTGTGTGCAACAATTTTTTGTTGTGGGAGGATACATTGGCATTGGTGGCCCTGCTTACTAAGTGCCAACAGAGTCCTCCATCATTGTGACAACCAAAGCAGTGGCCCCCAGATTTACAAAATACCCTTTTAGGGTAATGTTTTTACTAGTGGGAACCTCTGGGCTGTCAGGTGCCCTCTTTGGGTAATAGTTCATTGTAGTAAAGCAAAGTTTCTCAACTTCGGCTCTAGTGACATTTTTTTTTTTTGAGACAGAGTCTCAAGCTGTTGCCCTGGGGTAGAGTGCCGTGGTATCACAGCTCACAGCAACTTCAAACTCTTGGATTCAAGTGATTCCCTTGCCTCAGCCTTCTGAGTAGCTGGGACTACAGGAGCCCACCACAACACTCGGGTATTTTTTTTTTAAGTTGTCATTGTTTGGGAGGCCTGGGCTGGGTTTGAACCTGTCATCTCCAGTGTATGTGGCTTGCGCCCTAGCCACTAAGCTGTAGGTGCTGAGCTCTGTAGTGACATTTGGGGCCAGGTAGCTTTTTGTTAGGAGGGGTTGTCTTGTGTATTGCACACTGTTAGAGCAGAAGCCTCTACCTATTAGATGTGCCTCCCCTATGTGCTGTCCCTGGAGCTGTACCAGCCAAGTTCAGCTCCAGACATCCCAAATGTCCCCTAGGGGCATACTTGTCCCCAGCTGAGAATTACTGCTAAGAATCTGCTCATAACCAGGACCTATCCTACACAGGGAAACTGACCCAGAAGCTGGTGACTGGGTGCTACTTGGGGAGGGCAGTGAGTCTTGCCCAGGCCTACAGGGATACAGGCAGAGGTATTTACCCAGGCCTGGGGGAGGTTCAGAAGCCTTCCTGAAAGAGGTGGCCCCTCTCAGCTAAATCTAAGGAAAAGAGGTGTGGTGCTGAGGTGATAAATATCTTTGCATGATCAGAAATTGTCAACAGCGTGGTGTTTGCCATTTTTGATTGAAGTTGTAGAAGAGGTGAGGCTCAGGTCAAAGCTAGTTTTTGAGGCCAAAAGGAGTGAGGTGTTTTAAGCCAGCAAGTGAGGTGTTTGCGTTGGAGTTGGAAGAGGTAGGGGTGGGGCTGGGGGACTCCAGGTCATCTGTGATGGGCTGGGGAAGCCTCTGAAGGTGACAGAAGAGTGGACAAGGCAGGGGGAGGGATGATCAGGTAGTAAAATGGAAGGACCAGTGATTGATCAGATTCGAAAGGTGGGCAGGGGACAGCCTGGGCCACAGCTGAGTGAAGGTGGCCTGGGTGTACAGAAGTGCCAGAAACTGAGCGGAGGAACTAAGAATATTGGGGTTACGTTTAAAGTGCTGTCTCCTCTACTTGTCACTCACTCCACTCTAGTCACACCAATCTCCTCGCTGGCCTCCCACCCCCTGACCCCTATTGCCTTTCTGCCTTGGGGTCTTCGCACTTGACATTCCCTCCACCTGAATGCTCTTCTTGTAGGTAGCTTCATGGTCAGCCCCTTGCTATATCCCATTTAAGTGTCACCTATTCAGGAATGGCATTCTCTGCCCTCTTACTGCTACCTGACATATGTTCTGTGTCTGCCTATTGCTTTCCCACCAGACTGTAAGCTCCACGAGGGCAGGTGTTGTTCACTAGTGCAGGCTGCCACGCGCATCAGCTCCGTCTATACACAGCCAAACTGGCTCGTCCCAACGGAGATGCTCAAAGTGTAAATCGCACACCAGACTTGAAAGACTTGGTATGAAAAAAAGAATGTAAAGTATCTCCTTAATGCTTTTTAATATTAATGATGCTTTGAAATGATCCTATTTTAAATATGCTGGGTTAAAGAAAATATATTGCTAAAAATAATTTCACTTGTTTCCTTTTACTTTTTTTTTTTTTTTTGGTAGATACAGTCTTACTTTGTCACCCTCGGTAGAGTGCCGTGTCACAGCTCACAGTAATCTCCAGCTCTTGGGCTTAGGCAATTCTCTTGCCTCAGCCTCCTGAGTAGCTGGGAGGTGCCCGCCACAATGTCCGGCTATTTTTTGTTGCAGTTTGGCCAGGGCTGGGTATATGGGGCCGGCGCCTTACTCACTGAGCCACAGGCGCTGCCCTCCTTTTACTTGTGGCTAATGAAAATCTTCAAATTTCATATGTGGCTCACACGCCATCTTTATCAGATGCTGCTGATCTCAAACACTGCCTGACATACAGTGAGTGCTCAGTAAATACTTGTCGAATGAATATATCTGGAAAACAGCCGGACATTCAGGTCTGAGTGTGTATGGAGGGGTCCGGGCTGTGGACACTGACTTGTCATCAGAGAGATAATGGTGCCTACGGTCAGCATGGATAAATGCTTGGGTGTAGGGATGGCATGGGCCTGGGGACACCTTCGGTTTTTTCATTCAATGCCTATTCACTAAGCACCCATTGTGTGCCATGGATGGGGAAGGTGATGCCATCCTTCAGGAGAGGTGCTTTTCCCGGGGAAGCATCACGTCCTGGGACCTTTAGCTCTGACTTGGGGTGGTGGCCACCATGGATCGCCTCTTCCTGAAGGCATCTGTTTTCTTCCCATGTGAGAGCAAAAAGGTGGTAGGTGTTAGCTAGGGGAGAAAGAGGCTGCAGAGAGAGGGTGGCTGCTCTGGGGAAAGGAACAGCATGTTCAAACACTTGAAAGCAAAAGTGAGCGTGGTGCTTTGTAAGAACAGAAAATTCAATATGGTTAGGAGCCCGGAAACCAGGGGGAAGCCAGTGTGCTGGGGATCGAGGCTTAAGAAGCTTCCTGAAGGTTCTGGATTTACCCTGAGGGCAGGGGAGCCTGCAAGGGCTAAAATAGGGGGCCGTTGAGAAAGTCCTCCCAACCAGTGTGCAGAGCAAGGGAAGGAAGTGGAGGAAAGGAGCACCGGGAGAGGGGAGAGAGGGAACTACAGGGACACCCACTCGGGCAGAGGGCAGAGAGGGGTTGTCGCAGTCACAGGTCTGGCCACGTCAGCAGGGTTTGACGAGATCTCCAGGTGCAATCAGATGATGGCCCCTGGATATGTCACTCAGGTCTGGGGTGGTCTTATGGAGAGCAGTCTACTGGGGCAGTGAAGCAGGAAAACAGATGGGCAGGGACTAGGCGGGAGGAAGTGTGAGGCAGCCCTGTAGACAGCTCTTTGAATGACTGGTGGGAATAAGGGGCTGGTTGGTGGGAAATAGTTTGTTTTGGGGTAAGGTTTCTTCTAAGGATGGAAGGAACTTAACTACGTGTAGACTGGGGAAGCAGCAGCATGGCCAGGAGGGTGAAGATGTGAGAGGAAGGGACACCTGTCCATGCTGTCCTTTGGTGCCACGCCCACCCCCCACCCCCACCCCCGGGCCTCCCTGCGGGGCCAAAAGATGGACAGTGTGGATGCACTCACAGTCCAAGGGACTGAGGCCTGCCCTGGGAATGGGTGTGTCCCTGCCCCTCCCTTCCTGGGTGGGCTCTCAGGAAAGGAGACTTCCTGAGCCCTTGCAGGTGGGCTGGGTTTAGGCAATAGGGAGGGAGCCATTGTGGCTGCTGCTGGCATTGGATCCTAGCCACTCCTACAGTGCGTGTCAGAGAACACACACACTTGGGGCTCACACCGGATGTCCCTTGCACTTACAGAGAACTCACAGGATGTGCATGTGTACAGGCGGGCACACAGGTGACACATGCACACATAGGGAGTCCGTGCAGGAGGGACACGTGCACATGTGTACAATGCGGTGCACTCACAGAATTCACACAGGACATACACGTGTCCGTGCGCACACACAGCTCACCTAGGACTTACACGTGTCCGTGTGCAAGCATGCACCATGCACGTCATACATGCACACACAAGGAGTTCACATGGGGTTTACACGTGCACATGCACACACAGCTCACGGTGCACATGCGTGTATGTGTGTGCACACCCACAGAGAGCCCACAAGGAGGCCGCTCCTCTCTCCCAGGAGAGCACCTGGGAATGCTGGTATCACAGTTGGTTTTGTCCCCAGTAAAACCACCAGGTGACCTACTGCCTGCATTCCACCTTCCACTCTGCTCAGCCCAGTTCCTGTCCACTCTCTGAGGCCCCAGCCTCTTTCCTTTCCACCTGGATGGTGGCATCGAGGGCCTGAGTTCATTCTCCACTCCCAGCTCAGCAAGGCCCCAGCTGCTGCCAGCAGGGCACGTGGGAGGGAGCTCATGCAGCTGCGACCTTCGGGCTATCCCCACTGTGGTTTCCAGCTCGGACAAGTTCAGTTACAGATCTTGCAGAAGTCACTTCTTGTTGCTGGTGGGGTGCCGCCTCGGACCTCACCGTCCGCCCATGGCAGTGCCCGCCGCTAGATGGCCAGATCCTGGCGGCCAGTAGCCAGTGACGCCTTGCTGCGGCTGCTGCCGCCCTCGCCGTCGCCGGCGGGCGCCCGCTGCGCATAGGCGGGCGGGGCGTAGGGGTCCGGCCCCGGGCGCCGGGAGGGCAGGGCTGGCGGCGGCGGCGGCGGCGGCGGGAGCAGCTTCTGCGCTTCCTCGTGCGCGCGGCTGCAGCGATTGTCTCGCTCCCCTGTGCGCGGGCGGCTCTTCCAGAGCAGGTGGCCCAGCTCGGCCACGCTGAGCAGCGCCGACAGCAGCCCCACGGCGAAGTAGAAGACCACGAAGACGGTCTTCTCCGTGGGCCGGCTCACGAAGCAGTCAACGGTGTGCGGGCAGGGCAGGCCGGTGCACGCGAAATGCGGGGCCACGCGGAAGCCGTAAAGCAGCGCCTGGCCGCTCAGGAAGGCCAGCTCGGCCGCCAGGCGCAGCGCCACGCTCAGCAGGTAGCAGCGCCGTGCGCGGCGGGCGCGCAGGGCGCAGGATGCGCAGGGGCCCTCGGGCCGCCCGCGGGCGCATGCCGCCTCTGCGCCGCCCGCCTCCTTGCTGGCCTGGTGCATGGAGTAAATGACAAACAATACGGGGGGCGCCGAGAGTAGCAGGATGTGGAAGAGCCAGAAGCGGTAGTGCGAGACTGGGAAAGCGCGGTCGTAGCAAGTCTGGCGGCAGCCGGGCTGCAGCGTGTTGCACACAAACTCCTCCTGTTCGTCCTCGAACACGGCGCCGCCCACGGTGGCCAGCACAAGGATGCGGAAGATCAGCATGACCACCAGCCAGAGGCGGCCCACGAGCGGCGACTGCAGCTGCACAGCGTCCAGCAGCGAGCCCAGGAACGCCCACTCCCCCATGGCGCTGGGGACACAGGGCAGGGTCAGAGGCTGGGGCAGTTCAGGGATCCCCGCCCCCCACCTTCCACACCTATCGGAACGGGGTCAGTTAGACCTTCTCTACCTTAAGAGGGCAACAGGTGATCCTCAACTGCGGGTTCCCTAACATTTGGGTCCCTGATGCTGGGGAGGAGCCCCATCCTGACCATCTAGCCACATGTTTCCCCAGCCTGCTCGGTTAGTCTCGGTGCTCCTCCAGCATCCAGGTTCTGGAGAGGACCTGGTGGATCAGCAGAGGCAGGCCCTGACCTGCCTGGTGGAGCAAAGACTCACCAGCGTCCTCACTGCCAAGGACACTTGCCATGGTTATAGTGGGGCCTCCAACCAGGGGCCTCCGATGGTTATAGTGGGGCCTCCAGTGTGGGCTGGGAGAGGTGGGAGTAGCAGACCCAGGGAGACCACTCCTTTCTCAGCCCACCACTTCTCTGCCATTTGTGCTGCAGTGAACTCTTCTCAGGTTGCAGAGCTGACACAAAGTAGCCCCCCACTTCCATAATCTCACAAGGTCCTTTGCTGGAGGGGTCCCTGCAATGCTACACCAGTCTGGTGGGAATTCCTCCCAGGCCTTCCCTCTCCTCCCTGCTGTCCTCTGCTTCCAGCACCTGAATCTCCTGAGAACCCCCCTTGCCTTCTCCCACAGGTCCCACAGGCTCCTTGTGGCCCCCAAGCCCTCAACCAACTTCACTCACCCTGGGGCTGGGGGCTGAGACTTCAGACCTGAGCAAGGGACCTTGAGAGGTGGCTGGGACCTGCTTCTGCTCCCTCTTTCATTTTCCCTTTCGGATTTGGCTGGGATGGATGACAGGACAGGATGGCGGAGAGGGGCTAGCTCTCCCCCTTCTCTTAAAGGGACAGGGAGACCCTGCTAGCTGGCTCCACCCTTGGGAACAAACTCAGGGCCATGCCCCTTGCTGGGCTCTGCCAGTCCTCCCTTTCCAGCCCTCCCCTTGTCCCCTCATAGCTAAGTCTCCACCTAGAATTGGGGGATGGGGTTAAACCAGAGCACATCCTTTATCAAGGGAACCAAGGGGTCCAGGGCAGCCCGTCCCTGCCAGTCTTCTCCAAACTGGGGGCCTAGATTCGCTATTAACTATGTCACCTCAAAGATGGTCTTCAGGGGTGGAGGGAGGTTTGCTGCTGGTGTTAAGGAATGGCAAACATCTAACAGCTTCTGGTTCTAGCTCTGTCACTGCTCACTTTGGACAAGTCATTCAGCAGTTCTGGGCCATAACCTCCTGGCTTGTTAACTGAGGACGCTGGGCCAGCTAATCCCCACGGTTTCCTTCCAGCTCTGCGTCTTAAAGTTGAGGCCCCAGCCATGTTAACAGAGAACCAAATGTTCTCTAGGACATCTGGAAGAGATCCCATATGGAAAGACGATGAAGAGTAGCTGGCTTTGGAAGTCAAATTATAAGTTTTTGGTTTTTTCTTACTTTTCTATAATTTCCCAGATTTACTTTTTTTTGAGACAAGAGTCTCACTATGTCACCCTTGGTAGAGGGCCGTGGTGTCACAGCTCACAGCAACCTCAAACTCTTGGGCTTAGCGATTCTCTTGCCTCAGCCTCCCAAGTAGCTGGGACTATAGGCACCCACCACAACACCTGGCTATTTTTTGGTTGCAGTTGTCATTATTGTTTAGCAGGCCTGGGCCTGGCTCAACCTGCCAGATTCGGTGTATGTGGCCAGCGCCCTACTCACTGAGCTACGTGTGCTGAGCCCCAGATTTACTATTAATATAACAAACATGTTATTTTATAATGTGAAAAGTAGGCTCGGAGCCTGTGGCTCAAGTGGCTAAGGCGCCAGCCACACACACCTGACCTAGTGGGTTCAAATCCAGCCTGGGCCTGCCAAACAACAATGACAGCTGCAACCAAAAAATAGCTGGGTGCTGTGGCGGGCACCTATAGTCTCAGCTACTTGGGAGAATTGCTTGAGCCCGGGAGTTGGAGGTTGCTGTGAGCTGTGACCCCATGGCACTCTACCTAGGGTGATAGCTTGAGGCTCTGTCTCAAAAAATAAATAAATAAATAAAGGCTTGGCGTCTGTGGCTCCCAAGTGGTGGGTTCGAATCCCCAGCCCGGGCCCGCCAAACAACAATGATGGCTGCAACCAAAAAAATGGCCGGGCGTTGTGGTGGGTGCCTGTAGTCCCAGCTACTTGGGAGGCTGAGGCAGGAGACTCGCTTGAGCCCAGGAGTTGGAGGTTGCTGTGAGCTGTGATGCCATGGCACTCTACCCAGGGGGATAGCTTGAGGCTCTGTCTCAAAAAAAATAAAAATAAAATAATGTGAAAAGTAGAAAAGCTTCTGCTTTTCTAGTCCTAGAAGACTCTGGATTGAGAGTCCACTCCTACTGCCTGAAGGTGGTGGGGGAAGCTGTCCCATAGCAGGAGGGAGTTAGGGTGACTGATGGTGATCTGAGCAGCTAGGGAAGGGACATGTCCCTGGTTAGGATGTTTTATTTGTCCCCTCCGCCTTCCTAGGAGTCTGCCCAACTGCATAGTACACCTCTCCTCACCTGGGCCTCTGGTGGGGCAGGCTCTATATGGAGCCCAATTGGCTCATTGAGTTCTCTTTTCCACAGTGGCAGGAGGGTACTATTTCCAGTTGGGTCTAAGCCACTTACCCACTTACCCACAGACACATGGGCAGTAGGGAGCAGGTCCCAGCCTCAGGCCTGCCTGATGAGTTCCAGAGCCTGAGCTCTTCAATCTCCTACAGAATTGTCTTTCACTTGCCTGGCTGGGCTTGTCAGGTGGTGACCTAGAACCCAACAGTCCCCAAGGCCTTGTGTGGGGCTGGTGGGTGCAGACACTGGAAGTGGGTCAGGCCTATCCTTTTGAGGGGGAAGGGTGCCATTTCCTCTCCCTGCCAGCCACGAGGGCCTGTTTGGTGTTCCATCTGCCCAGGGGACCCCCCCAGGCCCACTTTCAGGAAGGGATGGGAATGTGCCTTTCCCCCAGTCCCTGGCTCTGGGGCCCAGCCCAGCCTGGAAAAACTCCAGGTGAACCCCTGTTTAGGCGTGCCGGGGAACCCTCTCACCCTTGTGCAGGCTCCCTGGGGAGAAGGCTTGGGTGGGGGGATACTACCCTGGAAAAAGTCCAAAGGAAAAAGCACAGTGCTAGGCCCCCACACTTTGAAAACAGGATGTGAGGTGGGGGCGCTCTGACTGCCCCCTCTCTAATCTCAGCCTGCTTCTGGCAAAGCTGCTATCTGTCTCTTGCCCCCAGCCACGGGGGCTCAGGGTCACATCTCATCTTCCCTGTCCAGAAACGGTCTCCACCCCATCTCTGTGGCCCCTGCTGGGTCAGGCCACCAGCCCAGCCCGGAAAAACCCCATCAGACCTGTCTGCCTGCTGGGAGTGGAAAGCAGCAGAGGTGGTGGGGCAGGGTGGAGTGGGACGTGGAGAGCCCGTGATCACACTGCATTGTCCCTAGCTCCTGATGCCACAGGGCCAGACACAGGAGACTCTACAATCTCAGGGGCCCCACCCTCCTTCCCAGATAGCACTGTCCCACTTGGGAGGTGTTGCTGATGCTGCCCAGAGCTGGCAGTCCGAGGCCCCATTCTTGGCCATGCTTGAAGCCTGGGCAGGACCGAGAGGCCCATCTTGGCCTGCTCAGGTCTCTGTTCCAGGCACCTTTCCCTGGCCGTCAGATTGTGGGGCCACTGCCTGCGTCAGTCACATACAGATATGCGTATGCAGGCATTTCATGTTCATACCCAGTAAATTAATTCCAACGACATAATCAAGACATGACTGCTTTTGTCTCCTGTGCCCAGCTATCATTTTAAAAAGGCTTTACTGAAATGTTGCCTTTTAATGATGCCTCCCCTACCCATCCTACCTGAAATGTAACCCCCTACTTCCTGTCCCTTATCAGCTTTATTTCCTTTGCACTGATCAGTACATATTTATATTTTTCTTATTTATCTTGTTTAGCATCCATGTTCCCCATTAGCATGTATGCTCCACAGGAGGGGATTTTTTGCTCTTTAGTCACTGTCCTGCCTCTAGCACCTAGAACAGCTCCCAGTAGGCAGGTGATGTGGAGTAAATGTCTGCTGGGTGAGAAAGAATGAAGTGGGGGTGGGTGGGTGAAGGATTGGAGCGTGCTGGTCTTCTCTACCTCTTGACAGTGAGAACTCTGTGGGTTCCGTGCCTCAGCTGCTCCCTCTGGTCTCTTCTAGGGCTTGTGGGCACGTAAGTAACCAACTCAGATCAGTAATCAGAATTTCTTAGTCCAGGATAGGAACAACTCCAGAAGAGCTGATGGCAGAAAGAGCTGCCCCCAGCTCTGCTGGCTATGGGCCAGACGTCTGGGATGGGCATAGTCAGTTCCTCTCGGTCACTTCTAGTCCTTCTGTACCCCTCCCCAACCCTGGCCCTTCCAACTAGGCGGGAGGACGGTCTGTTCACCAGAGTCCTCCCGTCCTGCTTTTGGCCCCCCCCCCCACGAACCCCTCCGTCTCTTAAGTATCACCAACACCTGGGACCCGCCTCCGCATCCAGTCTTAGCTCCTCCTTTGGCTCCATAATTATTTAGGTTCGGCTGGTATAATAAAAATACGAAGCAATGGGTTAAACAAGAGAAGCCCGGCTCGGCACCTATAGCTCAATCGGCTAAGGCGCTAGCCACGTACACCTAAGGTGGCGGGTTCGAATCCCCAGCCCAGGCCTGCCAAACAACAATGACGGCTGCAACCAAAAAATAGCCGGGCGTTGTGGCGGGCGCCTGTGGTCCCAGCTACTTGGGAGGCGGAGGCAGGAGACTCGCTTGAGCCCAGGAGTTGGAGGTTGCTGTGAGCTGTAATGCCACGGCACTCTACCCAGGGGGACAGCTTGAAGGCTCTGTCTCAAAAAAAAAAAAAAAGAGAGAAGCCCATTTCTCTCTTGCAGAAAGAAGGAGAAACACAACGCAGCCCCGCCAGGTCGTCAGGGCGCAGGCTCCTCCCATGCCCCGCCCACAGGCCCACAGTCTGCGGAAAGTGCCGGCGCTGCCACGTGACTGATATGCTCGCAGATCATTGGCCACACCTATCCTCAAGGGGAAGCTGG